CTCTTCTCGTGGCTATCTCGGCAAGTGTCAAGCCTGTGGTGTTCAAGGACACTCGACTCAGCGGTGTCCTCAATTCCGGCTTATTTCTGCATCAGGCATTCTCGGCGGCTCTCCTCAGTCTTCACCATTTCCGCCATATTCTCCTCGGCCTTGGCAACCCCGTGTTAATCACACGGTTATGCAGTAGTATAATGCCTCTCCTTGGCTTGTTGACAGCGGGGCTTCACATCACATTACGTCGGATCTCGACACCTTGTCTTTGCACAGCCCATACCGCAGTGGTGACGCAGTGATTCTCGGCGATGGGTCGAGTCTTCCCATTACACATACGGGTTTTCTCTCGACCTCTTCCTCGACTCGCCCTCTGTCTCTTACACATGTTCTTTGTGTTCCGGCAATGCATAAGAAACTTATTTCGGTTTCCCGATTATGCGATTCTAACTCGGTCTCGGTTGAATTCTTTTCTGATTCGTTTCAGGTGAATGATCTACACACGGGGGCGGCTCTTCTCAAGGGAAAGCTTAAAAATGGTGTGTATGAGTGGTCGGCTTCCTCTTTCATCTCGTCTCCTCATGTCTCTTTGTCGTGTCTAAAACCCTCGTTGTCTGAGTGGCACTATCGTTTAGGTCATCTGTCTTTTTCTACTGTCCGTCATGTTGTGTCCAAGTTCAAATTACCATTGTCTCGGGATTCATCTTCTTTTTTTTGTGATTCTTGCTCTCGCAATAAAAGTCATAAACTCCCATTTTCAGAGTCCTCTATTTCTTCTTCTAGACCCCTCGAACTTATTTTCTCCGATGTTTGGACTTCACCCGTTCTTTCTATTGATGGTTTCAAATATTACGTTTTATTTGTTGACCACTTCACACGTTATTCGTGGCTATATCCTCTTAAACACAAGTCTCAAGTTCGGGAAACCTTTATTTGTTTCAAATCATTGGTCGAGTCGAAATTTTCATCTTCCATTGTCTCCCTCTACACCGATAATGGAGGTGAATTCATTGCTTTACGGTCTTTTCTTGCTGCCCAAGATATCTCTCATTTTACTACTCCTCCTCATACCCCCGAACACAATGGTATCTCTGAACGAAAACATCGACATATTGTCGAAACTGGTCTCTCTCTTCTTCATCATGCTTCTCTCCCTATCACTTTTTGGTCTTTTGCTTTTACCATGGCCGTGTTTCTCATTAATCGTCTTCCCACACCGATACTTTCGATGTCTTGCCCTTATGAGTCTCTCTTCGATTTGTCTCCGAATTATGAAAAGCTTCAAACTTTCGGTTGTTTGTGTTACCCTTCGCTTCGACCTTACAACCAACACAAACTTGACCCAAAATCTTCTCCTTGTGTCTTTCTCGGGCATTCTCTCACTCAAAATGCTTACGTTTGTTTTGACATCCTCACCTCTCACTGTTTGTGTCTCGTCACGTCATTTTTCACCGCTCCATTTTTTCCTTTGCGGACCTCTCTCGATTTCGGCCTTCTCGTCATTCTTTGGATGTCCCGTCTCCGTGTGAAACTCCTACTTCGTCGGATTCCCTTGCCTTCCCTGTAATTCCCTTTACTCCGCCGGTCTCTCCATCTCCATCACACTCGCCCCTATGTGTAGCTCCTTCGCTGTTGGAACGCTCGGAAGAAGTTCCAGCTGCGTCCTCGCCTGATCCGTTATCTGCCGACATAGCTTCTCCGGCTAGTTCGCTTGCGTCTCCGCCAAGGAATAGACATCCTATGATCACTCGAGGGAAGAACAATATAGTTAAACCTGTGCAAAAACTCACTTTGACTGCATCTTTGACTTCTGTTCGCTCTCGGCTTCACAAGCACTCAAGGACCCTCAGTGGCGCTCTGCTATGGTTGATGAGTTCAACGCCCTCGTCCGTAATGGAACATGGGAACTTGTACCACCTGACTCTGTTGCAAACACTGTGGGTTGCAAATGGGTTTTCTGGGTTAAGACCAATCCAGATGGTTCGGTTGATCGGTTCAAGGCTCGTTTAGTTGCCAAAGGTTTTCATCAACCAGGTGTGGATTTTCATGATACTTTCAGTCCGGTGGTGAAGCCCACAACCATTCGTTTGGTTCTCAGCCTTGCCGTGACACATCATTGGTCCATTCGGCAACTCGACGTTAATAATGCTTTCCTACAAGGTCGTCTCAATGATGAGGTATTTATGTCTCAACCTCCCGGGTTTGTGGATCGTGATCGTCCGGATTTTGTGTGTAAGCTTCATAAAGCTATATATGGGCTTAAACAAGCTCCTCGTGCTTGGTATTCGGAGCTATGTGGATTTCTACTGGATTACGGCTTTATGAACTCCCTTGCCGATGCATCTCTTTTCTTCCGCCACAACAATGATGCCATTCTCTTAGTTCTCGTCTATGTTGACGACCTTATTGTCACCGGCAGCAATTTGGATCACATTCAGTCATTCATCTCCTCGCTTGGAGCTCGGTTCTCAATTAAAGATCTTGGTAATCTGTCATTCTTCCTTGGAGTGGAAGTGACACGTACATCTAAGGGATTATTCATCAGCCAACGCAAATACATTAATGACTTGCTTACTCGCACCAAGATGTCCGATTCCAAGGCAGTGGCAACGCCAATGGCATCCACTTCTCGGCTAACCCTTCAGTCGGGATCTTTACTCTCCGATCCATCCGACTTTCGTACGGTGATCGGTAGCCTTCAGTATATTTCCTTGACGAGACCAGATGTTTGTTTTGCCGTAAACAAGCTATCTCAATTTATGCATGCTCCAACGGACGAGCATTGGCTTGCGGCCAAACGTGTCCTTCGATACTTGAGTGGCACTCGTGAGGCTGGAATTTTCTTTGCCGCGACTAATTCTCGGTCTCTTCATGCCTTTAGTGATGCCGATTGGGCTGGTGATCCTGGTGACTTCAAGTCTACCGGCGCATATGTTATATACCTTGGCAAGTCTACCGAAGCATCCTGTTTCATGGTCCTCCAAGAAGCTTCCTGGTCATTCCCGATCTTCGACTGAGGCTGAATATCGTTCGGTAGCTAATACATCAGCTGAGCTTCGATGGATCGTCACCTTACTCTCCAAACTCGGAATCTCTCCACCGTGCTCCTACAATCTACTGTGATAATGTTGGAGCTACCTATCTTAGCTCGAACCCGGTGTTCCATTCTCGCATGAAGCATCTGGCTCTTGATTATCTGTTTGTTCGTAGCCAAGTGGCAGATGGTTATCTTCGAGTTATTCACGTTTCATCAAAGGATCAACTTGCTGATGCCTTGACCAAACCTCTTGCTCGGGCTTCTTTCCATGACCTTTGTATCAAGATTGGACTCACCTCCGGCGCTCCATCTTGAGGGGGCGTGTTAGACCATATTTATGATGGTTGTGACTTTCACATCATGGGAACAACATTCTTCCTCTAGGGAATATCTTCTTCATATTTATGATATTTGTAAATACCATGTTATGCAAACTTCAAAGCATACTTGTACGAGTATATATATGTGTACAATCTGTTGAATAATATTCATTCGAACGTTTACATTTTCACAAACTGGCAACAGTTTTGTGCGATATGGTGGCTGGTAGAATGAAGAGCAAGGCACCTTATCATCTGGTTTGAAACAATATGAAGCTTGAAAGCTAAGTATAGTGTTTTTTGACGAGTCAGTAGTCGGGGGCAAACTCGATTTTAGATGAGCCGAGTCACGGTTTTTCTCACTCGATCAAAAAACGGGCTCATGAGTCACGGGCTCGTCGACCTCGCTTACAAGCAAGTTTTTTTTAAAATGTTAATATTTAAACTTTTTTATTATTTTGTATTTTTTATATTTTTAATATTTTTTTTATTAGGCTTGTGAACTGAATCGTTTGGCTCACGAGGTAGGCGAGTCAAGCCATCAGACCCAAACAAGCCAGCTTAATTCATATACTTATTTCCCGTAACATATCGAGTTCCCAAGACTTTCAATTTTAATTCAGATTGGAAATAAAGAATCAATATATGACCAAATCATCATCCCTTGGTGGACCTAATCCAGTTTTTTATAGATCTCTTATAGAGTTCTCATCTTCCAAACTCGAACAAATCAAAACATTGCCTAAGTTGTAGAGCCCGATTCCAATATTGAATATGTAGAATTCCGCCTCGTTTCTATGCCTAAACAAAGGCCAACTTCAAAGAAAACCTTTAGACGTTCCAAACGCTCATCAAGAATATGAACATATGGTGAACAGGTTATAAGTTGGACAAAAACAACATTTCCACATTCATTTCATTCAAAACCAAAACGAGTGGAAACGAAAAATTCATGCGGTTGACCTCAAATAAATTTGGGATTAAATAAATTTAGGATTAAGGTGATGTTGATATTGATTTGATTAGAAAAGACAACCGGTCCCTTTTTTTTTTTTTTTGCAAATTGTAACTGTCCTGCTAATATTTAGTCATTTGTGGCTCTGATTTCAAACTCCTTTTGTTTTTTTTTTCAGGTTGACCCTTCATATGCCTTCGGTGAAAATAATTGTTTGTGATACACACAGCTTTCAAGGAAAAATAATTCGTCCGAAAGAAGCCATAATCATATCGTTTATACATATAGCCGAAGGGCCAAAGAAGAGAACGTCTTCATCGCCTATCTCTATTGTTTTTCACCCATTTTAGGTTCTATCGAATTTATAACGATTTCAAGAGTTGAAAATGAGATGCACAATTATGATATTATAAGTATATTATAAATATATAGAAATACAATTTACCATAGTAAAAATACTCCCATACCCACATACGTACGAGTTTCGAAAATCATATTATCTTAGATTTGATTCGAATTCAGATTTACGGACATTCGCAATTTGGATTTGAATGGGGACAAACATCTAGCATTCGGATTCTTAATTTTGTCCAAACCTTACAACTTACAACTTACAAGGGAATGGAAGCTTAGGGCGGTGACATCTACGCGCCTCTCCTGCGCGTGTGGTTAGAGCTCTTCACAAAGTTTTTCAAAGGAAAAAATAACAATTACCTCGTTACCAAAAAAAAAAAAATTACCAAAATCACCAAACCCCTTAAAGGTTCACTTCTATTTTGGTCATACCTACCTGATACAATACAAAAAGGGACACATGGAAATCTTCCAATAAAATCAATAAAAGAACCCTATAAATTACACAACAAAATAAAATATTACACAACCAACCAATCACCTCATATATAACAAAGCTCACACCACCATTGATGGAATCAAGAAATTGCCATGGCTGCGAGTCTAAGCTGCTTCTCCAGAGGCAAGTGTTCTCTGAAGGCCACGCAAATGTAATGCATGACCTTGAGAAGCAAAGGTGCACTATCTCGTTCGCTTTCGGCTAGGGGCTGTGAGCTTGCCGATGTATCGTCATCATCGCCCGGACCAGTGGCGAAACTGTAAATACGTCCCATGGAATTCCAGAGATTTGAAACGAAAGTCTGTCCAATGACTTGCCAGTCGGGATCAGAGAGGAGTGAAGTTACGGTGACAGCCATATCTTTCAACACCATGGATCGGTCTAAGGTGAGGAATGGCATGTACTCGCAGCACATACCAGAGAGAAGACCGACAAATAGAAGAGCCTGTTGGAAGGGGCGAAAAACACAATGCACCAAAATATATTAGTAAGAGAATCAATAAAAATCCAAATAAATGAAGGTTTTTAGGGGTGAAGGACAGAAGGATCTTCATATATTAGTATTGAGAGTTTTAGGGTTTAGGGTTTTAAAGAGGAGGACTTCGAGCTCTTACCGTGGAAGGATAACGAGAAATGCAGCTGATTTCAACAGCTTCGATAAGCCACTTTCTCCTTACACCTCCATCTGTATGTTGAAGTGCCGCCACTACCTCGACTAGAACGTTCCACATACCTTAACAATCCAAAAAGAGTTTCTCAAACATTTGGGAAATTATTTGCGAGAAGAGAACAAATATCTAATAATTGGTGTGTTTTGGTGTTTTGAGTAGTTTATTAGGGGGGGTTATATGCAAAGAGCTCCAAATTCTCGGAATAATTTTTTCTAAATCGAGAATCCAAGACTTTGATTCATCTTTTCTCAGTGAGTACTCTTTAATTAGCAGATGAGAAGCACTTGTGGATAGGAGGAACTCACCAGATGGTTCGCAGTTAAATATAATAGACTTCAGTCTTCCTAATTCAGTGGACGGGATAGAGCCATTCCTTGCAAGCTTCGCTTTTGCATGGATCTTCCTCATTAGCTCAGCCTGGAGCTCGACATTTCTATCTACGGAATCAAAACTTGAGACCTGTATCCAAAGAAGTCAATAGTTAATTTTGTTAGATAGAAACCAGGACTCATTCCATTGATACAGAGAAATCATAACTCTGATCATGAAAAGATCCATGTACCAGTAGAAAATCATATAACCAATCCTGACGAGACTTCTCTAAACACAAAACTGCCTCCGACCATTCCTTCACCACACTCGTCTCTTCTGCTGCATATGGAGAGTGTGAGGCTACTGGCAAGAAGGCAAAGAGCAACTCCATGCATTTTTCAATCTTTGAGATGTACTCTGAAGAAGACTCGAGAGAAGTTTCGTCAAGACACTGACGGAGACCATTCCAGCAAGAAACCCGCAAGAAGCTTTTCTGGTCAGTGTTATACACTTGATTTGAGGATAGTGAGGTTATGAAGTGAGACATATCGTCAAGCAGTTTCTCTGTCCTTGAACCTGAGAATATTCTCATCATGTCACCTAGATGACAGAGCATGCATGACTGCAGATTGAGCTCTAGCGCATTGAATCTGGATAGCTCTGATAAATCGTCGAGAAAAGCCAGGAGTTCATCGTGCTGGCTTGCATGAGCCAATGATAACCTGAAACACTCTTCTCTAAGAGCTTCTTGTTTCATCAACCTTCTTATTGTTGCTCCCCAGTCCAAGGCCGGTAATCTAGGAGCACGAGACATACACCTCAGGATAGTTGCCACTGTGCCAATATTCAGAGAGCCACCTGCCTGAAATTCAAAACAAAAAAAGTTTTAAAAGAGAAATTGAGATGTAATAGACACACATCCTGAACAGATGGCAGCTACTGCTAGAATGAGGAAACTACTGGACCGGCCAACGTAATCAAACAAAGATATGTGAGATATGAAATCCAGCCCATACTAGGTCTATTCCGGTCCTCACAAGCCCTCCATGAAGAATCTATGGGAAAAAAATAGCTTATATAAGGTGGATGTCTGCATAGCCTTATAAGCATCAATCAATTCCATGCTTTGCAGCACACTCACGGTGACCCAAGCCAATGCACATTCTAGGCGCCTGACTTTACAGCCTGTCCTGTCCAGGTCTGCCCCTTCATAGAGTGCTCCATCCACAAAGTTGAGCTCCACAGAGGGCATAGTCTAATACCACTTGAATGAAAGCAATTAGATACTAGGTCCACACCAATTCTTAATAAGCCTATGAATCTAACCCAACCCTAACAGCTGGCTCGTTGACGGAAGGTGCAAATATCATATAAAACCATCCATTAATCCCATGCTTAGCAGATGTGGATGATAGTAATTTTATACGGAGATAAGAAAAGGCTAAAAAAATCAGAAAGTTTGGAAACACGCATACCTCAGGCAATTTCAGATTCTTCATCCATTGAGCAAGTTCTGAGACCATGGCATCCTCAGAAACGCTATGAGAAGCAAGTTTGCGGTGAGAATTATCAGGTTGGATATCACTGGTGAGGCTTAATGTTCCTCTGGACCACATATAATTTCTAAAAATTGAGATAGCCCATGCAGCATACAGTTGTAGCCGATGATCCTTGTTATTTTGTGCAATAAGGAATATCTCTTGCACAACAGGCGTCAAATGCTGAGTGAAAATCAAACTAGAAAGCAAAGGACCTGAAACATAAGAAATTTCCTGTTCGGAAATGACATGGTGTTAGTAAACTCAACATATGGATGCAACAAATTCGCAATTACAAGAGTAAGGGTCTTCCAGAAACATACACCAAAAACTTACCTTCTCCTCAGAATTGGTTTGTGGAGTCCGGGGCAGAGGATGGGAATAGACCAAATTTCCAGCACCTGCTCCTAAGGCATTAACGACTCCGAGCATGCCACCAAAATGGACGACAGGTGGATGAAGCCCAGAATAACATGTCCTAAACAGTTCAAGTAAGGATTTTATTGGCTCAACGTCAATAGGGTGGATACCTTCATTCAGAACACAGCCAAGGGTTTCTCCGGCTCCAATGCACGAAGCTATTAACAAACTGGTGTGAAATGCACCGGACTTTTTAACATCTAATAACTCAGAAATTAGCTCCTTGAAGCCTTTGATAAGATGATCCACCTCACGGTAATCAAATAGTTCCATCTTTTGGCAGAAATTGATCACAACTGGAAGTGCCAAGCAAGCGCCTACTGAAAAAGCTCTCTCTGATATGTCCATTGAAGATCCCGAGATTTGTTTAAGAGAATATGCATGTGGTACCCATGATATGATCAGGTCCTTTATCTTTAGAACAGCATCTTTTCTCCCAGTTCTGTATATCGCACCAACTGACAACCCCAAACCTATAATGAGCCCAGCAATACCCCATATATCATCATCGAAATCTTCAGAATTATCATCTGATAGTTGAGAAAAGCTTGTCACATTATCTTCTTTGAAAACTGGAAATAGTGCAGACAAACTATCTAGGATATCCGATGAAGTGTGCAGGAAGCGAACTAATATTGAAGCTAGAATCTTTGCTATCCTCCCTACGAACCTTTCCTCTTGGTTCCTATGAGTCTCACTTCCTATAATGGGATTTTCAGAAACTTCAGCCCGAGTAAGAAGATCTTGGCATGAAAACCCCAATCCAACCCCGCAGGCTCCTTTAACAAAAGTGCTTTTACTGCTACATAAAACCTGAAAGCATTTTCCAACCAATAAGATGTGTTTAGGATAGCTCTATATTCCATGTTTCTAGATTTTGTAGATCTGAAAGATCAGAAAGAATCCGGTGAAGGCAACTTGGAAATTTAACGAATGGAAGAGAGCAGGACAAGCAATTCACACACAGATGAGCACCAAATGTTGGAAGACTACCGACACTGCAGATTATTTGGGGAGAAAAGAATGATATTTGTTCAGAAATAGTCTTAGATGAATAAGCAAGATAACCGATCAAAAGATAACGAGCACGTCATGGCATCTTATTCTTGATCACGAAAAAATGTTAATTGCTTAAAGTGGTAGGGATTAGGGAAACCAGAAGAAACCAAAAGAAAGTTGTCATATATTCCTTAAATTTCCTACTTCTTCAGGTGCCTCCTGAAAGAACTATCTCCACAACGATTTTCAAAAAATATATTCAGGAAAAGACTGATCCAACTCATCAGCATATAGAAACAGTTTTTAGAAACAAGTTCAATTTTTTTTATGTTTTACTGCTTACGTACCTCAAGAAGTCCAGAAATATTTTGAAATTTTTGCTTGTGATCAGTCGCATGTAGAGAAGAGGAAATCAATCCAAGAGAAATACCAGCAGTCCATTGAAGGTGTTCGTGTTCGTACTTAAACAACCAATCCAGCAGAAATTTTGATGCAGTTGCTTTAATATTATGGACAGCTGCTGGCAACACCTGGAACAGAAAACAGACCATTAACATTGATTGATACCCTTAATCGTCAGAAACATGGAAGACTACCGATACTGCCCAATTATCATGAAATCTTACTGCACACAGTGCACCCAGTGCCAGCGCTATGTTTTCAGCACACCTCGGAAGAGTTTCTTCAGCCATATGCACCAAACTCTATGTAACAGTCATAGCATAACATGCAATTAATATATGATTTTAGCATTTGAAACGGAAAGTTAGATCTGAATTAGCGATAGAAAAGATGGTATCTTAAACCTTTAAAATCTTGCTAGCAGCTTTAGAAGTTTTGTCAGATGAGATATCTGCAGCCGTTGCATCAATAAATATTATGTTGGCTCTCATCCACCGTCGCATAAAGGATTTCATTGATTGCAATGAGATAAGTGCAATGGCTATATTTCTTGAGAGCTGTAGAGATGCGACTATTTCCTTAAATGCATCCTCATATTGACCATGCAAATCATGAAAGCCCTGCAATGCAACCACATCTACAGCTCAATACTCCAAAGTATGGAAAGTGTCTGACCAAACAAATTACAGTGATGGTATTCTTACTTTTGATGCCCCGTGGTTTAAACTTCTTGGACTAAAGGAAAGACATAATAATGCAGCACCAGGTAGTTCCCTGATGTTCATTCCTTTTCCTGCAATGAAATGTTTGCACATTAAGTCCATGGGAGTGCCCAAAATTCTCTGCCTAACTGATTTACATGAAACCACCAGTTAAAAGGTCTATTCTGAAATCGAAACATGAAGAAAATGAGTATTCAATAAGCTTAACCCTACACATGGTTGTTCACCAGAATGTACCCTCTCTCATTTGTTTACATGGGAAACAGACTTGAAGATTTTTGTCGTTACAGACAAGAAATCCCTTATTTCAAAGCAGAACAGGGAAAAAATAAAAAAGGGTATGAGCCTAAAAGGCATAAACATTAATATTCTTACTTCTAGGCATCTCCAGTCAAAGGCATCGTTTATTATAGGCTAAAAGGAATCATTTCTTGCTATCCCCTCTAAAGACTAAATAGGCTAAATTTAATATATCTATCAAAGTTATTTGCAGAAATTCACTCACCTGAAGGGAAGATGACCTGAGGAATCACATCCAGCAGCTTCTCAATCTTACTAACAGGAACTTTCTTCTCTTTCACATTTCTTCGGCGAAAGCTGGATAATATCAGAAAACCAAATTTTAATATTTATGCTGCTAATGGGTTTATAAACCAACAATACAATGACATGTCGGAAAAAAACCCAACAAATAGCGACCAACAAATAGCGACGAGATTATAATCTCTATACGTGTGCTCATGCATGATGATCTTGATTAGAAGGTCTTCCAAAGCCCTAAGAATCTCTGGATTTGTCTCGGAAAAGAGTAATTTTGCATAATTTCCATCTAAGTCAGAAATATTCTCTTTGATAAATGACACCTGGAGAAAACAAATCATGAAAGGAATCAGAAAGATACAACTGTAAATAGTCAATTCTAGACAGTAATCATAGTTGAAGTCAGTCGAAAATATACCTCATACTGACCCAGAGCCGATAAGGCAGAAACTCGTGCCTTTGTCCATTGAAAATCATGAGTCATCTGCACAAAGCTAGCAATTTCCCATAAAATTTTCAAAACCTTTTCTGCATCTTCAGGATATGCTTCAGCATCCATTGCCCCCCACCCTAAAAGAACGCATAAGCTGCAATGTATTTCATCAGATTCACAGCATTCAGTTTTCCACCATGTACAGAAGAACTTACAAAGAACTCAACAAGGACTATAACCATCAGACACAGCATTTCAAAGAGACTGGGGGAGCAGGGTGGGTTGAAAGAAACAAATCTAGATCATTGATTTAAAAAGAAAGTTTTCAGACTACATAGATCCCCATCAAAGAAGAAATATGCTTGCCATGATTCAAAATATATCACACAGACCTCAAATAATAATGGCTAGAAAAACTCTGAAACACCCTAAACACCTCATTGGTGCTTGAGAATTGGATAAAAAATTATCCAGGATATTATGCCTTGCTTACCTATGAGCAAGGGAAGGATTCATGGTGATGCTCTGTGCATGCTTCTCAATGACACCCCATGCAGTATAAAAATCTGAGTGGATAAAGCAAAGGTAACTTAACATGGGAGAAACAAAAACATATAAACTAACCAAACACACATATAAACATAAGCCATCATGAGAGTACCTATTACATCAGCTTCACAAAGATGAGAAAGACTCTGAAAACCAAGCGCTCGAACCGCAGAGTCTTGGCTTTCTATAGACGCCTATCAATCCAATGGCGTGAGAATTGATAAGACTCAAAAGTTTCATGCACTGCCAAGGCAAATAACAAGCAACATCTAAGAATCCATACCTGGACAGACAAGATTAGGTCCACTCCCCTATCAGGATGTCTCCTGCAGACATCACGGATGGTAGCAGCCATACTTATGCATATATTTCTCTCCGAAATGAAGTCAACAAACCCTTTTGGACGTAATACATCCTGAATACTCGAAAGAATTAATAGAATAGAAATAAGTACAAATAACTGAAGCATGATGAAGTTGACTTTGCCGATTTAAAGTAAAGTTTGTATGGGGGTTTAATACAGGTAATGTACGTATAAAATAAGTTACTAACCTGCAGGCTTGAAAAGGCACGGTCATTGATCTCCCAGGTCTTGCAGAGCAATCTAATGGCTGTGGCATACAACAGTCTAAAATAAACCATCATCAGAGTGACTCATACCAACTCCAAGGCATTGGTAGTACAAAAATAGAACAAGACCAGTGTAGCTTAACAATTAAGACCAGTATATGAAGCTTAAAAGCATCAAACATCAAATACTGAATTTTTGGCTAACAAAAATTGTATAATTGATCATAAATCCAATTGCGGAGAAGTTGAAAGACACCCCCGAAGCTGTCCATAAAGAATAATGCATATGAAAAGTGAAAAGGAGAAAACAGATAATAAAACATGGAAATGTCATGATTGCAGAATTGATTATCATCAACGTGATAAAAGGAACAAATGAAAAACAAAGGGAAAAGGACGTACTAACCCCTTCACATCCTTGCGCAGCATTGGTGTAATAGTTTGAACTACAAGTGGAACCATCACTGGTTGTGAAGCAAGTGATGGAAGCAAGCTCAGAAGTTTTGGCTGCAAGTCAAAATGAAAAAAAATGAGGAAAATGGAAAGTAAACAAAACCCTCCACTTAGTAAACGAGAATTAAGAAGAAGCCCATGAAAGTGAACTCACCAACGCATTCCGGCAAGGATTATCTTTTCGAGAAAATATGTTGCTGTAATATAGAACAGCTAGCAATAGAGGAACAGCCATTTTAGGATCCATGACACCAGTAGCAGCCAAAATATCGATAGCATCAGATCCAAGGGATGGATGAATCACCAGGACACAAGCAATAGCACCAAGTAACACGGGTATCTCTTGTGACAGAGACAAAGATGCCGAAGTTTTTCTTCTATCCAAAACCCATTGAGCATGTTCCCTGAGTAGTGAAGCCCAAGATCTTGGTTGATGATCAGTTTCTTCAATTCCATTTCTTCTACTAGAAGCCACTCTTAGGAAGGAGGTAGATGTTGGATAATGATTCTAGAAAAGACAGCATTACAAAACTCAATCAACATGGTACTCCCAAGGTTTGTATAAACTATTTTACTGAGAATACCAAATCAATGTTTTGTATATAATCGGTACATACTCTGGGAGTATTTCTTCCAAATCCACAAAGACTAACAATTTCCAATATAACCTAGCCTTTGGATTGGTCTACTTAACAGTCATACTAGTACTGCAGGCATGAAAGAAAATAGCAAGTGTCTCCAAGAATTAAACCTGATGCCAGAGTTGCAAGATGAGCCTAAACACAACAGAACCAGCCCTGCTGAGAGGTGGATCTCCGTCATGGATGCAGACCTCAGTCTTTGATGCTTTTGCCAATTTTAACAAGACATTTTCTATGATGGAAAGAACCTTACTTGCTGCTCCTTTGACTGATTTGGAGGGCGAAGACATGAGTACAACAATAGGGAACAATAACAAAAGCTCGTCACTTGGATTGGCTGCATCTCTGATGAATGTGCTTCCTGCAAAAATAAAATAAAATAAAATAAAAGATTCAGTGTCTATTCATTCAACCGGACTGATAACACAATTGCAAACAGTTGGCACATAAAAAACAAAAACAAATTGTCAAGTAATTATGACATTTAGATTTTTATTCAACCAGCTGGGCATTTAGATTTTTACTGAAGTCAGTTAGTCATGCCAAGGTGTACCGAGATGGTTGAAACAGAAGATTAATAGTCAGCGACTCAACAACTGTACAACGAAACAGGCAAGTGCATAGAATTGACAAAGGTAGAAACACAGATGATACCATTTTGACTTTTCCATAAGAGCAGGAAATGGAGGAATTTTAAAATAGAGAGTTCTTCATGCTCAGCATTGGACTTGGCAAGCATAACAACTAGAGAAAGAACCACCGAAGATAATTCAGGTACATACGGCAACCCAAGATCCCTTTGAAAAGTTAACAAGTGCTTGAGTGGCTCAATAACAAGCTCCTGTTCAGCTGCTTGAACATGAGGAGCAGTGTAAAGCGAAAGAACAGTATCTACCAGTTGCACTCCCAACATATGAACCTCTGTTAGTTCCTGCGAATGAAAGAAGAATGATTTACATAATTACATTTTGCTTCCGACGGAACACAAAGTTTAAGCTTAATAATGAAAGACAAGATTCTCTTGATGTTTATTTAGGACATACCAATCCAGTCCCAACCAAGTCTCTCATCCAAATAGTATAGGCATCCACTAGAGTCTTGACAATGCAACTGAGATTCCGATCACCCTGAAGAATTTTCAGCAATTCAGAACTCGGTGCGAACTTCCATTTAATAACGGATATTCCATTAACTGAAAACAATGGTGAATGGGTATATACTTACATCTAAATTCTTGCCCGGGATATATTTTAAGCAGCAAATAAACAACCTGAAAACAGGCAGTACTTCATGGCGGAATGAGCAACAAAGGGAAGCAATTGAAGATATCAACTCCCTTAAAAACAAAGATGACGCCGAATCCGTAAATGGTATTCGCAATATCGCAAATTTCACGAATGGCTCCAAAAATTCACACACTCCGACGATTCCAAATCGCCGTTTATGCGCCATAAACAGTAGAACTTGGTGAAGAAGCTCCGTTTGAACCTCTATTCGGCTTGAAAGAATCTGAATTTAAAAAAAAAATCCCTCGAATTCTGAGTACTTTCGACAAAAATTCTACAAGTCCGGGAAGTAACCCGCATCAATTTAACTCTTACCCTGACAAACGGATGATTCTCCGAAGTATTGAACTTCCAATTCCCACCTTTCCGCTCATAACCGAAACGAATCAAAAACCCTAACCCCTTCACGAAGAGAGAAACGAACTTCGGGTGGGATCCTTCGAGAGCGGACTGAAGTTCCAACAAGCCGCGTGAAACGTCCAACACGGAGTCCAAGACTAAGCGACATAGCTCACGAACGGATTGATCGACGACGGCGACGGAATCAGCGGAGAGACAGAAGGAGATCGCTTCTCGTCCGGGATCGGAGTCAGGCCCTAGACGCTCCGAAGAGGATCGGAGCTTGGAGAAGACGGAGATCACGGCGAGTCTCTGAATCGACGGTTGAAGAACTCGGGTTTTCTCCAGCAGCGGAGCGTACGAGTCCATCGTCCGTATAGTGAGAAAGAGAACAAAGAGGTTAAACCGAAGATCCAATTAAACAGGGGAGCTTTGTAACAACCATCAAGAACAAAATTATAAGGCAGTTTAAGTGAAAATAAAATAAAAATTATTTTCTAACCAAGTTAGGATTAATATTCATAATGTTGTACTATATATTGTAAATAGGTAGACATAATGCTTTAATGTGAAATAAAAAATAAGTTGGGCTCTACACGAATAAAATAGAATAAAAATTGCAGATTAGAGTGAGATTTTAAATCTAAAAAAAAACTAAATTGCCTGTATGAAAAAAAGTAAATCCTAATTAGTGAAGAAGGTAGTTAGAAAAACATGAAATCTCTATGTATTCAATGCGACTGAAAGATCTGGAAAATTCAATATTAAACATTTTTCCAAAATAATCCTCTTCCAAAGGCAAATAATTTCCTTCATTAAACAAAGCACATAACTCGAATGATTCTCCCAAGTACAGAATCATTCACTGTTAAAACGGAAATTACCGAACTATCCCTAGGCTTCTTCAGGCCGACAATACATGACGTCACCACAACCGACAAGCAAAATTACGAAACTGCCCCTGGCCTTCTTCAGCTCCTGGAGGCCTAATGGGCCTTATCTACAAGGCCTAGCCCACGTCCTTGGTCTTCCCGGTACGAGAAACTCGCCACGTCGGCCATCTCATATCCTCTCTTTCTTTATTTGTTGGAGGTAAAACCCTTTCTCTCGGTCGGAGGGTCTGCGTTCGATCTTTGTATTCGGCAATTATATTTCATTTTGGAAGGTCTTTTATTTTTTATTTTTCGGACGCTTTTGATAATGCAGTTTTTAATTTTATTTTGAGATTTTTAAATAAGTTTTTGTTCTCTCTTTAACGACCTTCCAACCATAACAGCCTTCGTTTTGAATTATTTTCATTTTTTTATTATTTAGAATAAGTACCGAAATCATGTAAACGATTTGATGAAAGCATGGCCCATTGAAGGTTGACCCAAATGGTCCCACATTATGATCTCGTTGTGGGTCCATTATTACCACTTCCATTTTAAAATTTCTAGTTCTTTTTTTTTTTCAATTTGAATAATTTCCCTGCGCAATAATTTGGATGCTAACAAGTTAGCGCGTACGTGGTGCCATGTCAGCCCTAGCCTGCTCGTGTCCCTTGACGGGCACTCGATGGATCATAGCAGGAAATTTTTGATTTTTTTTTGTTACGATGGGAAACCCTATCCTACAACCCTTCGGGTCGGACACCGAACACCGCAACGTCTCTCAATCCATGGACCGGACGAGAACGACATCAGAACACTATCGCGGACCTGAGAAAACCCACCGCCCTGCGCAATAGCCGACAAACCACGCAGAGCAGGTAAACCAGCCTCGTAAAACTGATCGGTTCAAGGGAAGTTTCCATACCCCTGAGTTTCGAACCCACAACCTCTTGGTAGAGGTGAGTTGTCACTAACCACTAGGTTGGAGACTCCCCCAGAAATTTTCGAATTTTTATCGCCTAATATGTATCGATATTTCTAAAATATATATTTAAAAGAATGTTTTTTAAGATTTACAAAAAAAAAAAAAGTATGTTGTTTTAATATGTTTTAGAACAGACCAGTTCCGTAGATAAAATACCTCCCCTGATGCGTAGAATTGATGTTCGAATTTTTGTAACCTCTTAAGAATCAATACGTGCTGTTGGAATCAATACAATATGTATCGGTACGAAGATTTTATAATACTAAAATAAAATTAGTACTTTTTTTTTTTTATCTATTCTATATAAGTTAATTTAAATAATTAATGTGATACTCATTAATATTTTTAAAAATCCGTACATAGCTGTAGGGTTTTAACTATTGGGTGAAACGAACGCCATCGGATATTCTGAATTTTTGGAATATCTGGATTTGGTCTTCGTGTTTACGAATTTTAAAAAAACATTATCTCGTTTATGTTCTGTGAACCCCGCGTACCCGCGACTCGGATACCGTTCACCAAAAACCGTTAATGAATTAATATCGTTAATGGTCATGTAAGAATCTGGAATAAAATTGCAAATTGATATGTTTTTTGGGAGATAAATTCATATATTTATTGATAAGATTTTAATAAATTCATGTATTTATTTGAAATTTTTTCTATTCAAAATTAAAATTAAAATTCACACGTATCATTCATGAAAATATATTTTATTTTTAAATAGTAAAAAGGTTATTGATTATTTTTTAGGATTAGTAAAAATACTATTGATTATTTTATAGGATAAGTTCACACTATTGTTATCTACTATTGAATTTTTTTTTGATAATCCGTAAATAAACCGGACTTTCGATCCAATTATATTTTTTAGATGATTGGAGAAACTCATGTGAATAATTTTTCTCAAATAAAAATTCGAATTCGGATTGGAAAATAGTTTTACCCTATTCTTTCTGTTTAGATATTGTTTTCTGGAAATTAAATAACAGCAAATTTTTATAACCTCTTCCGTTCAAATCGGGGGATTATTGGTATGAATATTAATATATATAGGAAAAATCCCAAATAAATTACCTAACTTGAAGATAGCTGACATATTAATACCGAACTTTTCCAACTTCCAAATTAAATATGAACTCGTCGATTTTGACACAAAAAATATTGAACTTGTAAATTTTTGACAAAAACCTCATCGACGTTAAACGGCGTTAAATCGACCAACGGTTGAGGTGACGTGGCGGATGACTCAACCCCTCGTCATCCGCCATATCAGAAAAAATATTTTTAGAATAAAAAATAAAAAAATATTAAATAATAAAAAGAAAAATAATAATAAATTAAAATTAATTTTTAAAAACAAAATTTTAAATAAAAATAAAAAACTAAAAATTAAAAATTCAAATTAAAAATTAAAAATTCAAATTTAAAATTCAAATTTAAAATAAAAAAATAATAAATAAAAATAAAAACAAAAAATATACAATATACAATATATATATAAACATATATATACATAAAATAGTAACTATTAAATGTATATATTTATTAATATATACATATATACATATACATATATATATATATATATATATTTAATAGTTACTATTTTATGCAAATGTATATATATAGGTGTGTATGAATTTTGATATGTTTATTATATTTTTATCCATTTATATTATGATGATGTAAACTGCTCCCAACAAGTATCAGAAACTTGATCTTATCCATTTATGTCATAAAATTAAGCATTATATTTCGTGACGGGAAATAAATAATGTAACTTCGTACGTATTGTTACTTCAACCGAAGAATTTGCCTCCAAAACGGAGGGTAAAATGGGAAATAAATAAAATTTTCCATGGCGGGAAAAAGAGCCGTTGTAAACCAAAACTCTCAAACTATGGCGCCAAAAAAAATTTATCCTTACTCGAGACGTCCAACTGCCCGTGAACAACCGGGCAGGCCATTTTTTGAAATTCCGAGTTTACCCTCTTCCACGTAATCCAAAGGCCACCTCGTTCGTGTCGTGTCGTGTCTTAAGAGAATATTTCTTTGACTATATAAAGCTCTTTATCTTTATCGCACCAACACATTCCCTTTCCTATTTTCTTTTTCTTCTCCAAATGTCTCTCTTTGAAATCCAATAAAATAAAAAAAAATAAAAAAACCAAAGGAAAAAAAGAAAAAAAAACCCTAAAAACCCAACATTTATATATTTTCTTCACCTACTTTCCCTCTTGTTCGTGGTCCTTCTTCGTTCTCACTTTTGTTCTGATTCCTCCTGTTACCTTCCGATCAAACAAAAAAAGATCCCTTTTTATGGTTCCTTCTCTTCTCCCTTTAAGAAACTCGAAACCCTCTTCTTGTTTCTCCACAAGGGCACTGTGCGGATCCCTTTCGGATCAAAATACGGAAAGAGAAATGGGGTTTTCGAAGATGTCGCAAGCGGAAGGAGGCTTGGATTGCGACGGGAAGAAATGGGTCATCGCCGGAATTTCAATACGGGCTTCGTTAAAGCCGGTGAACACCAAAATCAGAGGAGAATCCGAACAAGGACGTGAAGAGGGAGAGCGCTCGACGACGCCGACGGCGAAGGAGGCAAAGATTCCGGCGAAGCTGAAGTGCCCTCCGGCGCCGACAAAACGCCGTCCGGCGTTGAGATGCCGGAGCAGCGTTGCCAGAGAGTTCTTTGCTCCTCCGGATAATTTGGAGACGGTGTTTATACGCCGTTAAAAGTGACGGAAAAATGATTTTCAGAGTTTGGAGTCTTCAGTAACAATTTTAGATTTTTCTTTTCCCTCTCTCTTAGGGTTTTTGATTTCAGAGTTTGGAGTCTGCAATATCTGTTTGGTTCCATAGTTTTTCTAGGGTTTATCCTCCTCCTTTAGATTAGATGAGATGATATAATTATAATCCATATTTCTTATTATCTTGTTTTAGTAATGTACAAAAAGGTGTAATATTAATGATAGTCAGCTGCTTCTCAATCATATTATTCATGTTCGCGTGGGTATCGATCCTCCTAATGTTCAAGATTTAAAGATATCGGACTTGTCAATAAAAAAATTATTTTTTCTTTACTCAATATTGGGAAATGTGAAGAGTTTTTCGCAAATCTTGACACTCATGATCAATATTTCATTCGTGCTTTACCAAAAAAAAAAAAACATATTCCATTAGTGTCCAAACGTCTAATACATTATATATCCAATTTGAGATTATTCCTCCTCTACATAAGATATTTAGTAATCATATTTAGTAATCACCCATTTTTGGGTGCTAATTTCAGAAGCTTATTCGGTTTTATGTTGTCTGCATTGTATCTGAATGACTGAATCTATTTTTTTTTATTAAAAATAATTAATTACTCCTGAGAAATAGTTTCAAAACGATTTTTCAATTTTTTTTATATTTCGCTATATTTTACTTAATTTAATTTTTTTTAAAAATCCATATTAATAGGTTCCAATACAAAAAGGTAATTTTATCATTTGGCTTTTGAAATTTGTACAACCCGTGCCACCTCTAAAAAAAATAATTATTTATGTGAAATTTGGTACATTTTTGTGGTTTGTCTTCTTTGGTAAGATTTGCTTGCGTCACTGTTCCGTCGGGGTTCGGGCTTTGTTGGCCGAATCTACGGGCTCTTTGTCATCACAATTTTTTTTCCTTATAATATAATATAATTTCATGTATTTAATAGATTCTCTAATATTTATACGGATCTGTATGGGAAACTACTTCGAATGTCTAAAATTTTTGAAACAAAATGTCTCGAGGACAGGGGTGTTAGATTTTCATCGTAAAATGTATATACACACACACACAATATATATAGATAACTATAGAGTCATGGATTGAATATCCGATTTTTTTAGATATTTATATCCGCATCCGGTTTATATAAATATTCAATTATGTTTTCAATTTTCGTATCTACAATTTCGTATATTTGTATAAATAATAAACAAATGTATAGTTTTTAAAAAATTCTATAATAAATTAATTATCAAATTATTTCTATATCTAATAATATTATTAAAAAATATGGATTAGATAGGGTATATCAGATAATTCGATATTGATATCTATATATGATAGGTTAATTTTCGAATATCAGAATTTTTTATTCGGATACGAATCGAATAACATCGATTCGATTTTTTAAGATATTATCCTTCAATATATATATATATATATATATATATATATATATTAAATGTTTGCTGTAACCAAGGAAATGCACACATGTAAGTGTTAAAGTATACATGAATTCGAGGATTTTGAGGAATACCAATGTCTGATTTGTTAAAGGAGGGCATAAAAGTCGACCGACTAATTAAGGTGAATCTTTTTCAGGCTAAAGAACTTGCAATGCATGGCATGCACACTCACTCCTCTTTTTATTTTATTGACTATTTTTCCTATATTAATTAATTATAATATCTTATCACCTAAAAAAAATAAAGTAATGCATATAAACACACGCGCAAGGATTTAAAGGCAAAAAATTTTTAAAAGCCAACATGATTAGCGTAGACCTTTCGTTATTCGATTTTAGTTCGATTCAATTCTGGTTTTTATTAATAAAATTTTAGATTTTTTTTAAAAATATCGGTTTTTAGATTTTTTTCAAAATTCGGTTCGGTTCAGTTCAGTCTATTGTAAAAAAAAATTACCGTTCAAAAATTTTGAACGGTTTGATTAAAAAATGATACCGTATTTTCGGTTCAAAAGAATAGTACCGAAACACCCATACACATATATTATACACAAATTAAGTCATATGAATATATACGATGTCATATAATATTCGTTACTCGTGTCAATCAAACAGTATATTTCATACATCTCTACGATTTGATCATATGATTAACAAAGACAAAAACAATAGTTGAAATTGAAATATCCGGGCACTTAAAAACAAAATTCAAAACTATGATGGTGAGAATAAAATTATCAGAATTTTTATGACTAGAAAATTTAAAACTATATATTTTGTATGAATTGATTTAAATGAGTAGGTAATTTGAATGTTAGAGATACAAATATATTATCCCAATACTAGTAAGTAGTAACAAATTAAATTCAATATTAACAAAGAAAATGAATTTTAATCGCTTTATGTTATTTCCATGCTTTATCTTTGAGTATATTTCTTTCCAAATATTAAACATAATCTTGATTTTTCCCTTTTTTTTCATTATTGGGTGTGGTAAATAATTTCTCGGACCTTTGATACAGTATATCTATTACGGTGATTTTATATATATGAACATTAAATGTTACGGTTACAAACAATGAGTTTAATTTCAGGGTCTTGTCCTTGTCTCTGTCACTTGATGACGTCAGTTATGGAATTTTATTTTCTTTTATTCTTAAAAATAAATGGGTAAAATTCTAACATTTATCATTCTTGGAATGCTATCTTTCCCTCTGTGGCCGGAAAAGGACAAAAAAAGGGGTTCAGATCAGATGTGGAGAATCCTATGTGGGGGCTTAAGGCCTTGTTTGGCTCCTCCCTCGCGACAACGACCCTTCCTGCGTTTTGTTCCTCCTTTACACATCATGTGGTTGCGTTCGCGTTCGCGTTCGCGTTTGTACCGCCAAACCAATTACGAAATATGATTTTCATTTTTAAAAAAAATTTGTTCACATTCCATCTTTATATGTTTTCTTGTTTCTTTGTCGTTCTAAGACGCTATGAGCTTTTCTCTTTTCTTTTTTTTTTCCTTTTTTTTTTCCTTTTGCATATAAATTGTATAAAAAAAAACTACAATGTATAGAAATAAGATATTAAATGTTAATCATCCATATTCTAACAAAAAAAAATAATTTAAATATTATATGTTGAAAAACAGAGTATCCAAACATCTCCGAAAGCTTGTCTCTATATTAAGAGAATCGTTTGTAAAAAAAGGTTACTAGTATTATTTCATTTGATTTTTTTAAATTATAAATTCGAATTATGGTAAATGAGGAACTGCATAAAACGACACAACTAAAAAAATTTATAGTCTCATGTCAATCCAAATAATATATATTTAGAAGCTTTAAATCTTTGGAACATAAATCTATATATATTAATAAAGAAGTTTAAATGCATATGGTGAGGCCACCTAAGTATCAACATCATCATCTATGTGGTGATTTTTTAAATTTCATTGGTCATTTAAAATTTCTCATTAGTTACATGTTATTTAATAAATATTTTTAATTATGGTGTAATAAAAATTCTTCCTAAATTATTATTTTAATTTTTCTTAATTCTGATTTGTTTACAAAAAATATGCTAAATAAAAAAAAATCAGAGTTTCCCCATCTTTATTATATAAAAATCTATTTTGGCCTAAGTTTTAAATATTTAAAAATATCATATTTTGAGAAAAAAAATCATGTTAATTTTTTTTTTAAAAAAAGATTTTTTCATATAAAAATAATGTTCAATCATCATGTTCGGTTCACCATAATACATATATATATATAATTTCTCATAATAACACAAAAAGTATTTCTGTTTAAATACATTTAATGTTATATCATAATAACGGATAAATAATCGGTAATTATGATTAATTTATTAAAAAAAATTAAATGAGTAGTGAACAAGGCTATTCAGTATCCCATTAACAAAAACAAAAAACGTGGTATTCATTTGCAATTTATTGTAGGATGGTATATATTCAAATACATGAACATGAAAATTATTCAATATAAATGAATACTTATGAATAATTTATTAAAAAATAAATGAGAAATATTAAAATTTCAGTTTTGACATCTTGGACTTCCTGTCAAACTTATTGCGATTGATATACGTAGACATTATCAATAATAAACCGTTATCTATTTAATCTTATTATATATATGTGCATGTGTGATTTTTCTTGCATGGTCTCGAGCTGGGCAAAAGGAGTCTCAAGGTATGTATGGGTGTTGATAACCAGTAGTTGTGGATATATAACAAACTATTGAATGTTGCAGGCTTCTTCAATAGGCATTGTGGTGTACCCATTGAGTTTGAGATTAATTAAAACAAATTAATTTAACGATGTCGACTTCGTATACGCAAACGTTTACGATCTTAGCATTGAACTCATCGTCAACTACAAAGACGACACCAAGTATTTTTATTTTCTTTTTTACTCCGCCAACTACTTATTTATGGTATAAATAATATAAGATATACAATCAGTACGTAATTACACAATTTTATATTATGTGAGATTATTTTGTTTCCTTACAATCTTTATTCAACGTGTTGCATGGAATTTAATAAAAAAATTACCATACATCATCGTTGTGCATTTTACTGTTTAGACATTCACTCTCTGTGTATTCTTTTTTTTAAACTATAATTCATTCTAATTGGCAATTTTAATTTTTTTGTTTTCCTATAGCTGAAAATAACGCTGAAAAGTTTTTCCCTTGGTGGTGAGATTAAGGAATCTCAACGAAGAATGTGCAGGAATTGTTTGTGATTTTTTTGCTAAAGGTTGGTGTATTAGACGTAAATGAGACGTAAATCTCATTTTTATCAGATTTCCATTGAACTCCTCCTCAAAATCTTATTACCATTATATATATACCTCACAACCGTTATATTAATTTTTTTTTATCTCTTTATGTAGAAACATGTGAGAGCTAGACATCTTTAACTTCACCATGAGTCAAAACTCTATATACTTCTCCAAGGAATAGGCGTAAATAAGTTCTATCTCAACCCGTGTATTCATTTTTATGAGCCAAACATTTTCGTTTATGATTGTTTATGATCTTTTGTTATTTTGAAGTTGGTATTCCTCATCTTATGTGGCTTGGGGTCGAAACACTAAGTGTCTAATTGTAGTTGAACGATCACATTTTCCCCGAATGCTTCTGTCAATTTGTTCCACCACATAATATATGCAATACTATGAGGAAACAAAGACTAATCATCTTCCACTTCGTAGTGGTTTCCTCGGTCTCATCTCATTCGTCTCATGTTTCATCGCC